GGATAGGAACAAGGGTGGGGACAGATAGGGGATAGGGATTGGGGACAGGCTGGTGGCATTGATGGTGACAGGCTGGTGGCATTGATGGTGGCAGGCTGGCAGTGGGGAGGGGAACAAGTTGTTGGTAGAGATAGGGACAGGCTGGGTGTAGGAATGGGGACAGGCTGGTGACGTTGATGGGGACAGGCTGGCACTGGGGATGGGGACAAGTTGGTAGGGATGGGGACAGGCTGGGGGTGGAGATGGGAACGAGTTGTTGGTAGGGATGGCATGGCTGGTGGCATTAATGGGGACAGGCTGGTGGCATTAATGGGGACAGGCTGGCACTGGAGATGGGGATGAATTGTTGGTAGGGATGGGGACGAGCTGGGTGTAGGAATGGGGACAAGCTGGTGGCGTTGATGGGCACAGGCTGGCAGTGGGCATGGGGGCGGACGGGATGGTGGCAGGAACGGGGGCGGGCGCACAGGGATCACGGAAACACGCGCAGCTCCACCTCGCACCTCGCTCCGTGCGCGTGTGTGTCACCGTGCGCGTGTCACCGTGCGTGTGTCACCATGCGTGTGCACACACAGATGTGCCTACAGAGCCACGCGGGACCCGTGGAGGTGTTTGCGCACACCCAGCCGCACTCCGGAGCAGCGCAACGCGTCCCAGAGCACCCGCCGGCATTTGTCGCGTTAATCGGGCGCGCAGGTGGCCCGGGCCACACACTTGCGGCACCCACGGGTGCGCACACGCTCACCCGGAGATTCAGGAACAGCCGCCCCGGGGTTCTCCCCGCTCGRACACGCCTGGGCACGCCGGGTCCCTCCCGCAGCCCCGAGGAACCCGGCGCGGCACCGCGGCACCGCATTAGCACCCGAGCGGCGCCGGGAGATAAATGGGAGCTGTCAGAGGCACCTTGTTTGCTGCTAACCTTTGGAAATGCCACGGCGCCCCGGGCTGCGTGTGCCGGGGGGAGCGGGCCCGCGGGGATTGTCGCTCACCACCTCCAATTAATCTCCTCGCGCTAACGAAGGCGGCGGGGTGAGAGGGGAGAGGCTTGGGTTGACCCTGCGCCCGTGGGGAGAGCGGGAGACCCCCGGGCAGTGGATCAGCATCTGTGCTGGCAAGGTGTGGGGACAGGATGGAAATGGGGACAGGATGGGAATGGGGATGGGGACGGGATGGGAATGGGGACAGGATGGGAATGGGGATGGGGACAGGATGGGAATGGGGACAGGATGGGAACAGGGATGGAGACAGGATGGGAATGGGGATGGGGACAGGATGGGAATAGGGATGGGAATAGGGACGGGGACAGGATGGGAATAGGGACAGGATGGGAACGGGGATGGGGACAGGATGGGAACGGGGATGGGGACAGTATGGGAATGGGGATGGGGACAGGATGGGAACGGGGATGAGAACGGGGATCGATGGGGACAGGATGGGAACGGGGATGGGGATAGGATGGGAAAGGGGATGGGGACAGGATGGGAATGGGAACAGGATGGGAACGGGGACAGGGACAAGCTGGGAATGGGGATGGGGACAGGGTGGGAATGGGGATGGGGACAGGGTGGGAATGGGGACAGGGACAGGGTGGGAATGGGGATGGGGACAGGATGGGGATGGGGACAGGGACAGGCTGGTCATAGGAATGGAAACAGGCTGGCAGTAGGGATGGGGACAGGCTGGTGGTATTAATGGGGACAGGATGGTGGCAGGGACAGGAACAAGCTGATGGCAGCCATGGAGACAGGCTGGCCATGGGGACAGGGACAGTCTGACCATAGGAATGGAAACAGGCTGGCAGTAGGGATSGGGACAAGCCGGGGACAGGGACAGGTTGATGGCAGAGAAGAAGCCTTTGTTGAGGGATGTCGTGGCACCCTGCTCCCAGTTCTGGCAGGGGCTGTTCCACCTTGAGCCTATGCCCCATCGCTCCCAGTCCCCTCTCGGGGTGCTGCAGCTCATCCCAACCCACACCGGGACAGCCAAGCCCCCCGTCCCCCCCTGCTCTGCTCCCCTCCCCTCCACCAAGGTGACCSAGGGTCTCGGGGGAGCAGCTGACGGCGCTTGGCCCCAAACAGCAAATGGGATGTGAGTGGCCATCACCGCCGGGCCTGACAAACCAAATTGATGCCGGCACCGAGAGCCTTCCCGGTCCCTCCGCGGCTGCTTCCAGCCCTTCCCGCATCCTTGCCTGGCTCCGTGCGCTCGCCGGGGGTGACACACGGTGCCTGCGGAGCTGCGGAGGGGCTGGAGAGCGGTTAAATCGTAAGGGGTGATGATGAGGATGAGGAGGAGCACAGGCAGGTGGATGAGGAGGGGGACAGGGCGAGAAGGTGAGGAGGGGATGCGGACACACGGCAGCCCCGCACGGGTGTGGAAGGGCACACGAGGGGCTGGAGAGCGGTTAAATCGTGGGGGGTGATGATGAGGATGAGGAGGAGCACAGGCAGGTGGATGAGGAGGGGGACAGGGCGAGAGGGTGAGGAGGGGATGCGGACACACGGCAGCCCCGCACGGGTGTGGAAGGGCACACGAGGGGCTGGAGAGGGGCTAAATCGTGGTGGGGTGATGATGAGAATGAGGAGGAGCACGGGCAGGTGGATGAGGAGGGGGACACAGGCGAAAGGGTGAGCAGCAGGGATGTGCAGACACAGCAACGCGTGCGACAGTGAAAAACAACCATCTCAGGCACGCCGAGGGAACCTGTCCGTGGCAACAGAGCCCCTCACGCCACAGARCCGGGCACGGCCACAGGTCCTGGTGAGAGCAGGGTGGGAGGGGGCTGGCACTGAGACCCCCCTGTGCTCCCACAACGCACGTCCAGGAGGTTCAGGGGCACGTGTGCGCGGCTGCACCCCGACGGCACAGCAGGAGCATTAATATTTAACGCGAGGTGTACGGGACCTGCCCGGAATGCCGACAGCGCTGCCAGGGCGCAGGGGGGTGACCTTGGCTCCCCTCGGCGCTGGCGTGGCCGAAGCGTTCCTGGCTCTTCTCATCCCTGCTCCGAGCCCGCCGGCTCCGAGCCCCCCGGGGTGGCCGGGGCTCAGCGGGGGCTGCGGGCAGCGAGGGTCCCCCCGCTCTCCCGGACCTCGCTGGTGCCGCGATCGATCGCCCTGGCTGCATCGCAGCCTCTGCCCTGCTCTGTAATTCCCTTTCATCCCCCGCTCCCCCAGCAGCTCCCGCTGAAGGACTGGAGGGGTTGGGGGGCTGCCAGCCTGGCCCAGGACACCTCTGTTCCCGCTGGGATGGGGGTGATTGTCTGTCCGTGCCCCGCCTGTGCCCCCCAATCCCTGGCTTGGGTATCCTCAGCCCCCGGGCGCTGGCAGCGTCTGTCCCCCTCTGCTCCCACCGTGTCCCCTCCCCACTCCCTGTCCCTTCCCTGCCACCTCCAGCAATGTCACATCCCATTGTCCCAACCCGATCCCATCACACCCCCCTCACSCCGGCACGGGATCACGGAGAGGGGGGGGATTGCAAAGGGAAACTGAGGCAGGGGAGGAGGCTGCGGGCACCTGCGGCACTGCTGGGGACCGGCCTTGGCTGCCAGCCCTGGCTGAGATGGAAATCCAGCGCAGAGCTCAGAAACCTCCAGAAATCCTTCCCGGTGGTGGGGGCTCGGCAGTATGTGCTGCTGGGAGCGTTCCCCGTGGGCTGCAGCCCCTCACCCCGGGTGCAGGAGAATTTGGGGGGCTCCAGCTGAGGGGTCTCACCGGCCCCTCAGTGGGGTGTGARGGGTTCCAGGGCGGGGTGGAGCAGAGCTGGGGCACAGACACCACTCCCCTGCCAAAACCGCAGCTCTCCCAGCTGGGGGGGGTTCCCTTCTCCCCCTCCCCTCGTTATCTCACCATCCCGGTCCTGCCCCCCTCCCTCTCCGGCTGGCGAAGGCGCCCGGCTTTGAAGCTGCGTTGAAATATAGATAAGGGCGAAGGCAGCAGTCGTGCTCGGCGAGAGCCGGGGGGAGCGGGGGGCTGGCCGGGCCTGGGGGGTGCAGCGATGGATGTTGAGCTGCAGCTCTGCTCTGCACACCCTGACCCTCCCCATTTGGCTGAAAAATCCCCAAAATCCCTTCCCCGCGGCCATGGGGGGCTGCACRCCCAGCACAGCGTTTCTCTCTACAACTGGAGTAGATTTAGGGGTTCAGTCCAGCACACATCGGGGGGATCCCGGGGATGGATCAGACGGCATGAAGCCGTTCTGTAGGGTGGAGGACACCAGGATGAGCCCCCCAGCGATGACAGGAGCCATTCCCCGGGTCTGCCTCGATTTCCCACGGGAGCACAGCCCCGCACGCTCCCCCCAACCCCTCCAGCTGGTGCCTCTGCTCACCATCCCCTCCTCACTCCCCCCTCCCGCGCTCCCCWCGGGATGCAGGTCATCCAGAGCAGAAACTGCCGGAGCAGCCAAGCACCTGCCAGCTCAGGGCGACAGTGATTGACGAGGCCGGGGCTGCCGGAGCAGCTGGCAGGGCAGGAGGGCACAGCGGGCACCTCGGGAGCAGTGGGATGAGGGATGGGGGCACGGGGGGCACGGGGGATGAGGGACAGGGGACGCGTCAGAGTTGGGGTCCCAGGCTAGGGGTGGCATCTGGCTCTGCTCGCTGGTGTCCACTCGGGTGACCAGGGGAACCTCGGGAAGGGGTGGCTGTGGTCCCAAACCAGCTGGTGCAGGCAGGAGGATGAGGAGGGGGCTGTGGGTAGGAGGATGAGAAGGGTGCAGGCGGGAGGATGAGGAGGGCACAAATAGGAGGATGAGAAGGGTGCAGGCAGAGGGATGAAGAGGGAGCAGGCAGGAGGATGAGGAGGGTGCAGGCAAAGGGATGAAGAGGGAGCAGGTGGGGGGATGAGGAGGGCACAAATAGGAGGATGAGGAGGGTGCAGGCGGGAGGATGAAGAGGGTGCAGGCGGGAGGATGAAGAGGGCTCAGGCGAGAGTATGAGGAGGGTGCAGGCCGAGGATGAGGAGGGTGCAGGCCGAGGATGAGGAGGGTGCAGGCCGAGGATGAGGAAGGGCACGGRCACAGCTGCTGCAGTCTCCCCCTCTCTCCCCCAGACGGTGTGTGCCGGGGGTCACATCGCCAAGACCTTGGGCTACCTGGAGATGGGCACCTCCGGCCTCCTCAAGGACGTCCCCTACGGCACCCTGAAGCCACCAGCGCTCGAYCCCGGGCGGCTGATCCCGGCAGAGCCCCCTCGGGGCGCGGGCACCGGACGGAGCCCCTGGGACTGGCAGAAAAACCAGACGGCCGGGGAGCTGCTGAGCCCCCGCGCCCACCGCAAGCCCACCCTCAAATCGAGCCGCACCAAGAAGATTTTCGGCTGGGGCGACTTCTACTTCAACATCAAGACGCTCAAATTCAGCCTCCTGGTGACGGGCAAGATCGTCGACCACATCAACGGCACCTTCAGCGTTTATTTCCGACACAACTCCTCCAGCCTGGGCAACGTCTCGGTCAGCATCGTGCCCCCCTCCAAAGCGGTGGGTTTTGAGGTGCTGATGCCTGGACCCCCGGCGCTGCCGAGGCCGCCGCCCCCTCCCCAGCAAAGCACCCTGCCCGAGGGTCGCCCGGCCAAGGCGCTCAATTGCCACGTGGAGTACGAGAAGACGAACCGGGCGAGGAAGAACAAGCCGTGCCTGTACGACCCGTCCAAGGTGTGCTTCACGGAGCACACGCAGAGCCACGCCGCCTGGCTGTGCGCCAAACCCTTCAAGGTCATCTGCATCTTCATCTCCTTCCTCAGCATCGACTACAAGCTGGTGCAGAAGGTCTGTCCCGACTACAATTTCCAGCACGACAATCCCTACTTTGGCTGACGGCACCGGAGCGGGGGTGGGAGGGGGATAAGGGGGGTCGCGGTGCCCTGTTGTGGCTSCTTGGGGACCCCCCCGTCACCCCCATATCGGCCCCGTGATCATCACTGGAGCATCTTTGTGCTGGGTTGTGGGACAGCTGGTG